CCCACCCCCGCAGACCCTGCAGGGACGGGCCAGGGGCTGATGTAAGGGACCAGCTCCAGGTTAACAAGTCTGCAAAAAATGTCCCTGCATCCCCAGTGAAGATACAGGCATTTTCACCAGCCCAATGGCAACCAGAAAGCTGGAGCTGACAAAGCCACCACCTCTGTATAAACTGGGTTGGCTTCAGCTTCAAAAACAGCAGCAGCGCCAGGAATCAGCCCATCCAGCCTCACATCCCAGCGGGAGGAAAAGCAGCCACAGGAGGCTGTAAAAGAGAGAGTAGAAGGAAGAGCTGCCTCCACACCCCAGGCTGGCTGTCAGGGGTGATTTTGGGGAAGGAGGATGATTAGTCTGATTGCTCTGCAACACAGCGGTCCCAGTTCCTGTCAGCAGATCCCTGCGGCTGGCCCTGGGACAGCAACCTGCTGCTGACACCTCCTCACCCTGCAGAGCCCGTGCATGGGGATTACACCCACCCCTGGAGAGCAGCAGGGAGCTGCGTGGAGATGTCGGGCTGCAAAAGCTGCTGTCATCCCCCAGAAATACCCTGGAGGGGTTTAAGCCCCCATTTCAGCACCATCCGCTATGCACAGCGGGGATGATGGCATAGAGACCGTGTGGTACCGGGCAGCGCCCACCTGAGCTAACGGGTCCAGAGAGCCTGGCGGATTGCCGGAGAGATGCTCGGTTCAGGGCCACAGGCAGCTGCCTCCTGGGTGGCACACGGAGGAGCTCATCCATCTCTGCCAGCACCCTGGCCCTTTATCCCCACCAAAAGGGCCCCTTATGCCTGTGAGCACGGGTAGGACCCGCTCTGCCCCCTGACACACTGCAGGCAGCAACTCAGCATCATCACCCAAACTGCCCCACTGAGCGTGAACACTAAAATTCAGAGACTGTCACATCCTCAGCCTCCTCTGTGAAGTCTGCCCCAGCACTAAAAAGCTGGATTTGGTGGGAGGCACAAAGCGAACGCTCGTCTTGCCCCAGCCTTGGGGCTGTTTCACTCACCCCATGGTAATTTCTTGTAAAAAGGGGCTGTTTCCATCCTTGCCGTGCAAGGATGCTCTTTGCACCAGTGTGTGTTTTAATGATGCTGTTTGTGTCTTATTTGTACTGCAATCACTGTCATCACTATTTCATGAAATAATTAGAGGAAAAACCCACACAGCCCTCAACTCACCCCCGCAAAGCCTTCCCCTCCCCAACAGCTCCCTGTCTGTCCAGCCCTTCTGCTGAATATTGCTGGTTGCCCGCATCAGATAAGGCCCCAGAAGGAAATGAACAGGCTCCTTTAAAACGAGAGACAGTCGGGGATTAAATTAAATCCCCACGCTAATTCAATCAGAGACTCTGCTGCTCTTCAGCAGCACAGCAGAGATGAGCAGGAGCCTCGCCACAGAGCAAGGCTTCCATCTCGGGTTGAAAGCATCACTGGGGCTGTGAAATCCCGTCCTGGCAGAAAGGGCCACAGCTGAGCTCTGCTGAGCATCACCCGATGGCGGGGAAGGACAGGGAAGGCGACAGTAATGCCATCATGGCCAGCCAACACCCCTGAGCATGGCTGGAGGCACCAGGGACTCCATCAGCACCAAGCCAAGGGCTGTGCAACGCTGATTTGGGCCAGCAAGGACAGGGATGTGACCGGGTTTCCTTCTCGCCATCATCGCGCCTGAGGGGCTGCTGGAGGAGGCAGCAGATGGAGGTGAGGTGCTGCCTGAGCTGAGGTGAAGGGGACCTCTGTCCTTCCACCCCAAGGACTCATCCAGAACATCCTGCGGTCTCGCTGCAGCATGGGTCCCTCTCCCTCCACCAGCTGCAGTAGCTCAGGAGCCAGTGGCCAACATCTGGCTCCCTCCATCCTCAACACATTGCTCTCAACATCTGGGTCTTCTTGCCCTCAACATCTGGGTGTTCCTATCCTCAACATGTGGGTTTCCCTGTTCTCAGCACAGAACCATAGAATCACAGACTGGTTTGGGTGGGAAGGGACCTTAGAGCCCATCCAGGGACACCTCCCACTAGCCCAGGTTGCCCAAAGCCTCATCCAGCCTGGCCTTGAACCCCTCCAGGGATGGGGCATCCACAGCTTCTCTGGGCAACCTGGGCCACTGCCTCACCCCCCGCACAGGAAAACATTTCTTCCCCAGATCTCATCTCAATCTCCCCTCCAGCTTCAAACCATTCCCCCTCGTCCTGTCCCTGCACCCCCTGATCCAGAGCCCCCCCATCTCTCCTGTAGCCCCCTTTCAGCACTGGAAGGTCTCCCCAGAGCATCTGCATCTTCCCAATCTCAACATCTGGGTTTCCCTGTCTGGAGCCGGGAAGGCCGAGGGGCTTTACTACCTCCTCCCTGGCAGACCCCACACTTCACTGTTTCAGTTTCCATTCCAGACTAAGTGGCCAAGGCAGCGCGTCCCAAGAAGGGGAAGAGAAAGTAGAAGGAAGAGCTGCCTCCAAGCGCCAGGCTGGCTGTCAGGGGTGATTTTAGGGAAGGAGGATGATTGCTCTGATTGCTCTGCAACAGCAATAGAATCCCTAAGATCCATTTCCCCATTGAACCAGCCTCAACACACCCCAGCAAAGCCAAACGTTGCCCTGGCTGCTCCAGCATCCTCGGTCTGTGCACCTGCAACCCGCTGCCTGGACTCCCTTTGGGCATCACTCACCGACTCAAAAGTTTTCTTGAAACCAAGACAGGGGAGAAGTCCTACAAACCCTTTGCTCTTCAGTCTGTAATTCAATCAGGTTTTTTCCAGTCGCTGCTGCTCTGACGCCAGCAGAGCAAACTGCAACGAGCAGATGCGGGTTTGTCAGCGCGGCCTCGACTTCTCCAGCATTTCTTTAAATAACCTGCCCTTTCTGGGGGGCCACGGCCGGGACTTCCAGCTGGGCAAACACCGGCCACAGGGACGGCACAGCTGTGAGCTGAAGCCAGCACTGGCCTTCCCCCTCCTAGAAGTGCCGTGTGCTGTGGCATCCCCTTAAATTTACAGCTCTGGGAGGTCAGGGATTTTTTTGAGGATCTCAGCTTCTTATTTCAAAGCCTCTGCAGGCATGGGGCTGCTGCGGCTCAAGTAAACCCTGGACACAAGAAAATGGAATTCAGCCTTTCCTGGCTCCCAGCGCGGATGCTCAGGTTTTGCAACGTGCATCTTCCTCTTGCAGTAATACTGGCGAAGAGGAGGTTGAACTCACCTCGAACGGCAGCGCCCTGCATCCTCAGCCAAAATTAGGGATTGGGAAAAGCAGGAAAGTCCCTCTGGGTAACAGACTGTTGGACATCAAGCCGAGTGGGAGAGCAAAGGATGTGCTGCTCCAACTGCGCTCCCACCCCAGGAGTAGCTCATGGACCCCCCGAGACACTGCTGGAAGAGCTGCCCATGGGATCCTCCGTGAGCCCCAGGGAGGAACCTCTCTGGCTCCTGCTGCCCTTCAATCTACCTTTGCTCAAAGGTGCCTCACCTGCCCCAAAAAGCATTTAGCTCCTTGGGAATGAGAGCAAGTCCCTCTCGAGGGGAAATTCGGAGAGGATGCAGCCAGCTTCGCTGCTGGCAGTGTATTCCCTGTACAGAGGTAACATCCCTCCCAGGGCAGACGCCCCAGGGAGGAACCTCTCTGGCTCCTGCTGCCCTTCAATCTACCTTTGCTCAAAGGTGCCTCACCTGCCCCAAAAAGCATTTAGCTCCTTGGGAATGAGAGCAAGTCCCTCTCGAGGGGAAATTCGGAGAGGATGCAGCCAGCTTCGCTGCTGGCAGTGTATTCCCTGTACAGAGGTAACATCCCTCCCAGGGCAGACGGGATGCGGGCAGCTTCGCTGCTGGCAGTGTATTCCCTGTGTGGAGGTAACATCCCTCCCAGGGCAGACCGGATGCGGGTGAAACAGCACCGACATCACCCAGGGAAACAGCGACGTCTCCAAAGTAGGTTTTTGCCAAAGTAGAAGAAAAAATTACGACTTCAGCGGTTTTAGCATGGGACAAACTGTGCCCAGATCTATCAGAACAGAAACC